CCCCCATCTGGCTCCTCATAATGCCTTCCAGCCCCCTTTATAAGCAGACGCTGCTACAGCTGTACTCAGTCACCGGTACCCATGAGCACAGCCATCTCCTTTTCCACCACTGCATCCTTATTCCTTCCAAGTCAGGCCAGAATTTCACTCTTCCCCTCTCGGGAGTCTCTGCTGGTTTCCCAAGTTCAAGGCAGCAGAGAGAATCTCTCACGAGTGCTCTGCTTCTGCCTCAGGTGACAAGATTATTCCTTTATTTCTGCGCCTCAGTTTCCCCACCTTTCCTACAATCTGGGAGATGGTCCGATGGGAGCTACCAGTGCAAGAGCAAGCGTGAACAGCAGGACCAAACTGTTATTTTTAGCTGGCTCAGTGCTCAGCTGAAGAGGATTATAACGGGCTTCCGCTAATGGGAAATTTGGTTCTACAAACATCCGACCGGCGCAGCTGTTCCTGTTCTTGTCCATTCAAACTGTGTACAGTACGCAAAGTCTTCATCTCCCCTTCCGCAACGAAGGAGGAAGAGACCTGTTTCTTTCCTTAAACACCTGCCAGTCAGCATGCTACAAAGCAACTGTTGCCTTCCCCACCTCCAAGAGCTGGTAGCTCCACTTTTCATAACAGTTTAAGGAGAGACAGCACATTCACCCAAAGGCAATACTGCTATTAGCCTTCCCATGCTGAAAAGCCTTTTAAACGGAGTATTGAGTGCAAGATCTGATCCTCACCCTTGCCTCCCCACCACATTAGTTAAGGCAGCAAGGCAGAATTTGTGCAACATCAGCAGAGCTATGTTGCAAAAGACGGGTCAATAAATCCTGTCTGATATAACCAGATGCTGAGACCAGCAGGGACTAATTTGCAGGCAACTGTGGTAATTCTTAGGGAGAGAAGGGGTGGAGGGAGGCATTGTTCTCAGAGGTTTGTGATGCATCAAACAGCTGGTTCCCCCAGGAGAGGCCATAAACAGCAGCAGAGAAGCAGCTTAGGGCTGAGTGAGGGTAGCAACACATGGACAGGTGTTTTCTCTATCAGCACAGGTGGTTTCTCCATTTCAGTTCCCTTTTCAGGTACAGGAAGGCTCCTGCAGGGATTAGCAAAGAAAAGGCATGCCATCAGCACAGGCAGGTTCAGTTCAGGCCAGCCTGCCTAAACCCCAGAGTAACAGACCAGAAACTAAGCAGCTTCTCATACCCGCCATGGCACACCTATATTTCAAGCAGGGAGGTGCCAATTTCGACGCCAGCTATCCAGGGGTTTTTGTGAAAGCAACAGACACTCATACATTTTGTTACAAGGGATAGCAGCACATCAGAGCCAACAGCACACTGAACAGATCATCAATCCTATATCTCTCATTAGGAAAGGAAGAAAAAAGACAAACTACCCAAAAAATCTAGTGTTTTATTGTATAAAAATTATACATACAAAATGCACGTGTTGTACTGAACTTGGACATACAATGGAGGATGTGGTGGCAGTGTGTGAAAGGCAATTTATCTTGCTCTGGTTTTTGATTCGGACTCTATGCTGGGAAAATTGGAAGGGACTTTGGATGCCGAGAGAGCTAGGCTATTAACAGCACTGGAGCCGTGGGGATCTCCTGGCTGCTGATCCATCCCTTGAGACTCATGAGGTTCCAAGATCTGTTTTAATTAAAACAAGAGGAACAAAGTGTCAGATGCTCATTTATAATGAAGCTGAACTGGTCCTACCCAGGGAATCATGTTTTTGCGAGGAGAAAAAGGGCATGTAGTGCGGTCTGATATCTTCCCCCAGCTGGGAGTGCTGGCAAAGGCAGATGCTAAGAGTCTGTCTGATTCAAGCCATTGCTAAACAAAGACTGAACTAGCATTTGAGTCTCAGAAGAGGGAGTCACAGGCTGTTGAGGAGGCTCTATTTAAAGCCTACTCACACAACTACCATGAGAGTTCAGTAGCCCATACAAAACTAATGATATCTTACTTGCCCGAGGAAGAGTCACTGCACAGAGGAGAATGCACATGCATTGCTCCATAAACAAGCTACTGTTTGTTGCATTTTTATATGCTGCTCCTACCACAGAGCTGTCTCATTAACGCAACTTGGCCTTTGGGCACAGAAAACTGACTGTTCGAGTGTATTTATTTCAAAAGATGACTTCATTTTCACATGGCACCAGGAAGTGGTTACTACTCAGAATATAATCCTGCGCAGCTCCGTATGGCATCAGCTTTCTAGTTTTAGCCAAAAAGCGAAGCAGAAAATGGACTGCAAATATCCGAATGGTGCTATTTCTCCCTGCCCCCACGTTGCTAGCAAACAAGACTTACATTTGTGCTAGCTGGGCACTCCCCCAGATCTCAAAGCGGGATGGTTTGATTATGTAGCTATCACAGGGGCAGGCAATTATTCTGGGTGGAGGGCCGCTTACTGAGTTTTGGCAAGCCATCGAGGGCTGCATGACAGGCAGCCCAGGGCAGATAAATATTAAATTTTCTAAATTTTTAGGGGCCCCATGGGCTGGATAGAATGGCCTGGTGGGCCGCCTGCGGCCTGCGTTTTGCCCACCCCTGAGCTATCATAAGGACACTGCATGTGCCTGTTAGCCTACAGACTGGCTAGCTGAGAGATCCTGGGTGCCAGGAGAGAGTCAACAAGTGCCAGACATTACCACCTTCTACCATGGGTGTGGAATAGGAAGGCAGAACACTTAGGTCCATAGTTCAGATGGGAAATACATGATGGCATTCAAAATAAACTAGAAACTTGTAGTGTTTCTAGAAATCTATATTTAGGGCCAGTTCTGCAAGCTCTCTCAGGTGAAAATGACATGAGCATTCAGATAAATCACTTTCACACACTTCATTTTTACATGATAAGCAAGTAGAAGTGCTAGTTAAAAGAGTTAGACTCCATACTATTGCTAGAAGAACATATTAAATCCAGTACAGGGTCAAACATCAACCAACCTGTAAAAAAATGCCATTTACAAATCAAATTTATAAACGCATTAGATATTTAATACTGTTGTGTAAAAAGGCTGCATATAAAAAATATATAAAAACCAAACATAGGCTTGTTAGGACAGGGATATAAAACTAGAAGGCCTAAGAATAATGCCTTGATTTTAGTTTAGAGAGAAAACCATTGCTTGAATATCCATGTGCTATTAGTCTAAACGTCCTTAATAAAAGGGCTGTTTAGGAGAGGAGAGGAATTCTGTGGAACAAGCAAAAGTGTTGGATCCTGAAGTCCTGACTTCAGATGTGTGCTCAGGGACTAGACAATTAAGTTTGGGAAGACCCAAAAAAAGATCTCAAAATGTCAGAGCACTTAAAACCTTCAGCTCTGCATCCATAGGGCAGTCCCACCTTCTCCTCTGGACCATATGTTTAAAAGGCTTTAATATATTGCAAGAAAGATTATCTTGTGCACCAGCCATTGGCTCCTTTGTTGGATTGCACTGTCTAGGGGCTGGGCACTTAATCTCAACTGTGCTAGGAATCAAGGATGCCAGTACCGTACTGGTGATAGACTTACTCTGACCTTTCCCTCTGGCTGGCTACGAAGCAGGACTCTTGTCTCTAAGTGCTGAGTAAAGGAAAAGGTTCATAAGCCAGGAATGCTAGACCAGCATTTTCATGCTACGAGCTGATCCACTGCACCGCATTTCACATGCTTCAGGACACAGGACAATTGATTTGCCTCCTGGAACTTTCTAGGAAATGTTTTTGCCCACAGTGGCAAAGCATGAGTCTGACGAGCGAGCAAAAGCTTGCGTTGCTGATCTGAAGCTTCATATCTGACATCATTACAATGGTATACAGCTAACTGTACCTAGTTGATGACTTGGAGCCCCATCAGCCCCGAAACGTCTGTCACTGCATCCCCCTCCTAGAATCAGCAGTCCACTCCGTGGTCTGAGCTGAAATGACTACTTATTATGTCCTGGAGTAGGCAGCAAAATGTTCCCATTTGGTAACCACAGCAATTAATCCCTGGCTTGGATTGTAGTGGCATTTGTGCACACGGGAGGATTTAGCAGACTGGAACTGTTTGATAACAGTAATCTGCAAACCTGAGGCAGATGTGAAATACGGGGTCATTCAGATGTTCTCAAACCAATTCCCCTTCCTCAGCAAAAGCTGAGGAAGCCAGTAAGCCACAGTCCTACGGTTGTGCTTAGATTCCATTTTCTACAGATGTGAATTGATAGTAACATGCTCCTATCTCCACAAAGCTGCAGTTTTTCCATCTCTGCCATAAGCATCCAGGAATTATCCCTGGATTTGGGGGTTATATCCTTCAGTAGACAGGATAACCCCAGAGTTTGAGAGCTGCGATTACACAGCTGACTGCAGCCTAGATTGTCTAGCTGGCTGCAAAACTATCATAACCTGTTTCACAGACCCTAGACAGGAGCTAGAAATAGAGTTAGTGTCTTGTCTGGGTTTCCCCTTGTGCACTGCTCTTCTGTAGCCAGAAATTTTTGTTCTGTGCTTGAGCTACAGGAAGAGCTTTGCTGTTTACAAGGATACTTGTATTGCAGCGTTGGAACTAATACTGATACTAAGAGCAAAGCTCTTTTCATTAAAAAGTGCATATATAGATTTGGATTTCAGAAATGTTCTGTTCAACCAATGCTATAAAAACAGGACAAGTTCCAAAGTGGGGTTTTGTAGCTCCTTGCAAGTCACCTCTTTCCACACTGACGCTATAACTGAATCTTTTAGTGCCTAACCCAAAACTGTCCATGCTAGCAGTTTCCTCAATTTTATAATATAGGCAGGATCCAGTGCTGTATGCAGCACTGTCTGTATCAGGGTTCTGACTTCTCTACCCTGACCAAGAGCAGCCAAGTATAGTTAAAGCCAAGCCATAAAGTTCGGCTCCAGATCAGAGCTTTTATTGCTGGAGACGCTCATGTTCTAGTTCAAGAGGTTAAACTCCATAATGGTTAATTGGGTGGTAAATACAAGGCCAGTGAGGATATGCCCTGAACAGCTCTGCACTCCATTTTCCACTCTTAGCCAGCTCTATCAATCTGGCAATTCTTTTCAGGGCTTCCTGGAAAAGGGTTTCACATCCAGCATCCAGATTGGAGGCATCCTTAAGCCAGGTTGGAACTGCAGAGCCAAAAGTTTGATGCCAGAGAGAGACACACACATAGGACAAGCCCAGAACTTGGGCTTCCCCCAGCTAGGCAGGGGACACTACAATACTGCAAAGATGCTTGGTTGCAGTCAAGCATATTAGACACTTTGCACCACCACCTACTGGCGGAGCTTAAAATGGCATCTCCAAGGTCATCTTTCCTACCCCACTTCCTTCCAAGCTAGGTCAAACCCCAGAGAAAAGGGAGGGAGGCTAGAGGCCTCTTCATCTAGAAGAGACTTAATTAAAAGGCTAAGGTTAATTCCTTATTGCCAAGCCCAGTCCCTCAAAAAAAGCCACATAGGAGCCCTGTCATTTGGTATTAAGTGAATCATTCGCTTTGAATGTCTGCGAGGCAGGCATCTGGAGCCTACTCTATAGGAAAGAGAATGCCAGGGCAGAAATGGACCCAGACACCCTACCCAAGCTTGGAATCTGGATGGACAGGACAGGCTATAAGCAAAAATCCCAGCTCTGCAATTCCCCATACTTGCTTTAGCACAGTCTCCAATGCAGCATGTATTCTTGCATACAGAGGAGAAGGCATCTCTAGCTGCTGTGCTTCTCAAGGTGCAAGAGGTTTGGTAAAACCCCTCCAGCTGCAAAAGCAGAAAGAAAGGCAGGCTTGCCTCACACACACTCAGATCCAACAGGGTACAGCTGTGCTGAAGGAAAATGGTCCATTTCCCATTCATACCATTATCCACACAGTACCTAGGTAGAACAGAGGTCTTTAGAGTAGGGTTAATACTGAAAGGCTGCCTTTAAAAAGACATGCTTTGAGACTGAAAAGGTGGAGGGATTCTTTAGCAGATACAAACTCAAAGAGTATTAAAAACGGATTTAAAAAAAATCTGTACAGGAACTTAAAAAAAAACAAAAACTTTTTAAAAAAAATGTGCAAAACAGGCCATGATTCTGGAGGAAGAACTGCTGCATGTGCTAATCAGCAGAGTTGTTAAAAGGCCCAGGGCCATGGAACGGCCAACATGCACAGTCTAACAGGTGGAAGGATGCATGCTTCCCAGCTGCCCGGCTGCCAACATCAGGATGTCCTTCTTCTCCTTGTGGAAACGCAACTCTT